CATGTCCTGGTCTTGCACTGTTCATCTGCCTTCAGTCCCTTGACCTCCTAATGTTATGCCTTCTGAAAGCTGAGTTGATTCCACCTCTGTAGTTCCCCAAAGTGGGGATGTAAAATGCCTGAAAGATACCATTTCTCTCAGCCTGCAGTATTCCCTCCAGTCCCTCACAAATGCTGAAGCAGACAATAGCTGTGAGCTGGTGTCCTAAGACCCAAGAAGGCAGTGGATAAAAGGCATTCAGGGGCCCATATTGCAGGCAAAGAGCGTAGGAGGAATGTGGCATCACAGCATGCTAACATAGCTAACTGCAGCCTTCACCATATGGTACAGTTGACCCATGATCCTAGACCACTGTGATCAGATTAGTTGGACAGTAGGAAAGGGAGAGAGAAAAATCCCACCTAAAGCCCTTGAAACTTTGGTGATCTTCAGTCCAAGGATTTAATAGAATAGCAATAACTTAGGGCTACCATGATTCACTTTTGTTACTATCATTATCAAGACAGCATCAAATTATACAGTTCATTACTAATCCAATGATACTCTTCTAAGATACAAATGCTTATCTATTATTCTGTGCTCCATGAGCTGTTTCCCACAATTACATATCTTATCAGAATATCTTGCTACAAATCCTAAACATTAAAAAGGGAATGGAAGTAGGAAAAACACTAACACTGAGCAATAGTCTTTTATAAAAAAGTAGACACAATGTCAGTGCCTAAGCATTGGAGTAGATGAAGGTTTTAAAAATAATATTTTGTTGGACTTCACATTGATTCCTGATGCTACTTCTCTCTCTTGAAATCTTTTTTTTTTTTTTTTTCTTTTTCTTATCTTTAAGTCTATTTGCTCCTTTTCACTTCTGTTTCTATGATGTTCAGCATTCTGCTGTTCTTCCTTCAGCTTCTAGAGTGACAGCAAAAGCAAAGCTATTTGGTCTGTGCTCCTGCAGAACAGCACTTTCCCTTTGGCAAAGAGACAGCAATAAAGAAAGGCTATCATCAGCATCGTGGCATTGTTACCTTGTGATCAAGTGCACCCTAGAAGTCTGAGGTGGATTTCTCAACCATGAGAAAAAAACATGCACCCCAATGTACATCTGACAGTATTTACACTTACTTCCCTGTTTCTTGGATTTTTCTCTTGTAAAATTCTACACTGCTGAAAGAATGAGAATGGTATTTCTTTCATGAAAAGAGAAAAAAGCAAAAACAAAACCAAAAAAACCCTCTTCCCTTTCTTTCTAATGAACATTTTTACGAAGCTTGGAGTTTTATTGAACTTTGTTTCTTTTCTCATATGCCCTTACAATTATGCAATAATGATTTATGATTTCTTTTCTTGCCAGTAAAGTCTCTAAGGAACAATGCCTTTCAAAATTCTCATTTTCAAAACTTCACTGTTTTCTATCAGTGCAAAGAAGTCTAAAATGTAACCTTGCAGTGTGAATCCATCAAAATTACTGCCTTCTCAAATAAAAGGAAATGACAGAACATTCAGAGTACTTATAAAATAATTTCAGATATATTTTTGGAGTCATCTGGGAAAAATGGCACTACAGTACCTAAAAATACTGATTTTTACCCTGAGGCAAACTACCTATTGCAAATGAGAGACTTAACTTTGAGAAGGATTTTGAATTTTTACAGTAACTGTGTCGACTAATTCTGATTCTTATTTGAAGAGAAATGGAGGGAAAAACAGGAAAGAATAACATAAACAGTCCAACTGAGTAGAAGAAATCCTAACATGAGAAACAGAAATGTACTCCATCTGGAAGAGAAGTTTCTAAACATAGAATATTAGGTTATATGGTTCATGATTAAGATCTGGCAAAAGCCTTCTTTTCTCTGGCAGAACAGACAGTATCTTGACTCTTGAATAATATTCATGATACTGCTGCTGAACAGAGAAGCTTATTAGCTTCTAGGGATATGAAGTTCTGGATCCCCTGGGAAGAGGCCAATATCTTGTTTGAGTTGAATACATTTCACAGATGAAGAGGAGGAAGAAGAGAGAAAAAGATCTTGCCTATTTACTCTGGATGCTATCAGGCTTGGCACAGCTCCTTACAGTGGGCTGATATCCTTGGGCTAGCAAATGTCAGTAATAGTTTTATTTCGTTGGTTGAAAGGACATAAAAACCTGAGTCTGTACTGTAACTTAGTTGAATTTGTAATTAATCAATATATGCCCAAACTGGAACAAGGAAGAAACACTGCTTGAAACATATCACAGACACACACACATAAAAAGCCCTTCAACTAATTTTTATAGTTTTGTTCTGTAGGCAGCTGTGTGAAATTAGTGAAATCACCTCATTAGTGAAAGTATGCAAGATAATCTAGAAAAATCTTTTGGGCATCAAAATGGATTTGAGAGCAATGACAACTAAGGAATCATTTACCTAGGCACTACAACAGAATTTCCTCTGTGTCAGATGAGAAAAGAAAAGAAAAAAAAAAAAAAAAAAAGAATGAGGAACAGGTAATATCACTCAGAATCATATATGAAAGAGTAAAAAAATGTTTTATAATTGGTTATCTTTAATTTTTTTAATATTAATTTAATTTTAATTTTATTTTTTTTTTCTGCATCACAGTTCAGTACAGCATAGTTCAGTGACTAGCAGCATCATCTCACCAGACTGGGGATGTGTCCTGTCCAACATACACAACTTCTTGGTAGGAAAAATTAAAGAAAGCAGTGCAATAAGACTATATTTCTTTTTGCTAGGTAAGTTGTGTATCACTGTCTCTTGTAAACAACCCAGAGGTTAGGGCTTCACAAAGCCATCTACACCAGGCACTACAGCTCCCGCTAAGAGTATGTTCCATGTTTAACTATTGTCTTGATTAATCAAGAAATAGAAGTATTGAACTTATGACAATGCACATATTTTTCTAATTATTTAATTTTTATAGTTTTTTTTTTTTCTAAATATGTTGATCATTTTCTTCTAGTTTTGTGACCATTACCGATTCAAAAAATTAAAATATCAGAGATAAGACAGTCTCACTGTTTTGCATTCTCATTCTCAGATTGTTTGTTGCTTATGATAGTAATACTTTCAGTTAAATGAATTTCTTGCCTTAATTAGTCTCCATGTGCACAACAAAATATGAACATAAAGTGGATAAAAATGTGCATGTGGGATAGTTTATTCATCTTGGAGACATTTGGAGAAGATCTCTTTTAATACTTAACTATTTTCTTAGATTTCTCGGTGGCTGCAGGACATTCAATGTCAACTTTGCCTTTTCAGGGAGAACAGGCAAACTAGAATCCACTCAGTTCAGGAAATACCAAGAATAAAGACTCTAATTGTAAAACTGATGTGGAATAACGTAAACCACAAGTAATGCAACAGTGTGTTAATCTGAATTTTCCAGTATGCATGCTGCATGTTTTCATATGAAATTTCATATTGTGCATCTAATTATCAATCAGAGGAATTAGTTCTGTGAATTAAAAGAGATGACTGGATAGATTAGATACCATAAATGTTAACTAAAATAAGATGAAAATATTTTAGGAAGATTTCATGAGCAGCTTAATCTGTGTTGGCCTGTTAGGAATGTCAGCAATGCTTTCTTCAGTCAGAGTATGGAAGCTTTTCTCCTCTTGAGAAGAAATGTTGGAGGATTTACTGCAGTCCAGCTGGATGCAGGAGGCACCTCATCTTCCTCCGGAAGACTGCAGAAAGCCATTTTTCACTGTAGGCCTTGGGCAGCTGGTTTAGCAGGGAGTGAAGAGAATGAAGGTAAAATGAGCTAAAATAGCTGGAAAAGTAGATTCTAATATTTGAATGCAGAAATACACATGCTGCAGCTGTGGCATTACAGAGGCAATTAAATGGGTGTTCCATAATCTTCACTTGACTCACAAGCCAAATGGAATATACCATTTTAAAATTCTGCAGATCTGCCTTCATGCACTACATACATGAATAAGCACTGTATAATAATGTGCTGTCTCCAGATTAGTAGATACAACATGACTAAGCGTGCTATTTTAATCACCTTTGCACTGATGATTGCTCTACTGTAAGACTCTTCTGAGAATCTTTAATCTAAAACTAGTCATTCATCTCCATTTCTTCCTTGTCACAATCCACCCAGATGCTGTCTAATGTGACCTTTCTACTCTTATTTCACTGTGCTGTTTGCCAGAAGATTATTTTAAATCTGTATCATCCTTAGTAACAAATATGCCTTATCTGTCTCTTTATCTAGACTGAAAAAGAGAGTGGTTATCTTGATATCTATGATAATCTGTCTAAAGTAGTAGAGTAAAAGGGACTGCACGGGAAATATTTTCATGTCATTTAATTCTGCCTCTCCAGTCTGTTCCACATTTGTTTTTAAAAATGGAATAAGGAAACAGACAAAGGGTATTTTTATGGAAGGCCAGGAATATCTGATAAAGCTTCCCTAATTTTTAAAATGTTGTCAGGAGGATACTATCTCTATAAATTCAGTTGCTGAAGGAATAATCTTTATATTTCTTTTATGCTACAAAATCTGTGTACGGAAGGAATAATCTTTATATTTCTTTTATGCTACAAAATCTGTGTACTGATAACAATGATCTTTAGCTATTGTCTGAGGACATGAAGCTCATACATGAAAACAAACTGCAAAACCTGTGTTCATTTGGTGACATTTAGTTTGCTACATCTTCACTACTTTATTTTTACTTAATATAGTAAAATAATGATGATCACAAGCTGGTGATCTCAGAGGGTCGCAGGTAAGCCAGCAACATCCTTGTATAAGAATTATGTTAAAGGGGCTTACCCAAAATTCAAATGGAGGGCTGTGTGTTATCTTCTGTTCTTTACAGAAAGTGTAGAAGAGGTGATGGACCAAAAACTCCTACATATTTGAGAGCTCCCATTCTGCTATGCTCCAACAGATGGCAGGGCTTCCAGGAATTTCTAGTGTTTTTCCTGCTGGGATCCTATGTAAGGTATGGTTGTCCCTCTGCGTGAAAAAAAGGCAGAAGAACAAGCCATCATAAAACATAAGGGATATCCTTGTGTATTTTGTTAAATTAATTTACATAGTAAGAGAAGGAGAAAGCCGTAGTTACTCTTTTTGGTTCTAGATAGTGTTGCTAAATTTTTAAGCACATCTCTACAAAGGGCAAAATAGAAAAATTCATTTTGTTCTAAAGATAGTGTTTGTTGTCAGAGCATTACCTGTTCTAAGTGTTGGAATTGCTCTGGAAAAATACCATTCATTTAATTGTGTCTATTGCATATTCAAGACAATAATTTACTAGGGACAACTTCATAGATTTGTGTAAGGTTGCTAGAAGGAACATCTGCTAACAACTAGAAATGAAAACCAGACAATTAAAATCTACAAACAGGAGAGGGATAGCACTTCATGGAAACTGGACATACTCTGACCTCAGTTACTTTCATGTAGTTCCAGAATCACTCTTCAGAAGTTTAATAGTTACTTTGAAATGAGAAAATATAACTGAAAGAAGTATTTGGTTTTAAGGTTTGGAAACATTATTTTCTGCCTATGAGTATAGAAGTGAATGAAAATGAAGGTTATAATATACTAACCTCAGTAAATTTAACAGATATTATGCAAGATACCATTTTACTAATCACCTTGCTGATAAAAGTAGCCCAAGCAATGTCACCTGAAAAAGGTCTTTACAATTATTATTGGCAATTAAGATGTATGAATAAATGTTTCTGATGAAGCAAACTTCCATAGTAGTGAATTGAGTTGAATAAACTCAGTTGAACACTTAACACTTTCTGTAAAATATATGCAATTTTCCTCTGGTAGGACTACTATACAGTTGTTTTTAGTTACCAGAGAGCATAAAAATTCATAGTGGAAATCACAGAGTATATGAAATTCTTACATGCTTCTAAACTCAAATTCTACAAAGAATTTAAGCATATTTGAGTTTTGTATGTGAATAATCCCACTAAAGTCTGTTTTTTATAAATCTAAATACTTATTATTTACATGATATATCTTATTATGTATCAAATTTGACTCTAATGACATCAGGAATGAGATAAACTAATAAACATATTTTTATACCTAACTTTCTTTTTAAATTATACTAACCTCTACACAACTGTGGAAAATGAAATTAATAGTTTTTGTTTGTTTCTATTTCTTCCACAAATTATTAGAGGTAAAGGGCAGGTCAACCAAAATGTAATAAAGTATTTCTTTCCATTAGGGAGTATATGAATTAAGTGTGCAGGCCAAAAGTTACCAGCTTAATTCAGCATGATGTATCAGCAAAACAGAACAGCTGCCTTGGGGTATTAGTGGATCAGAGCTTTAATTTTTAATCACTGTATATAATTACTCATATGTCAAAAACACACTTTTGATTCAGTTATAGAAGTTACAGTATGAGAAACATATGTACATCTTAACTCTATGTCTGCAATGTTGATCACATTAACTCAGACACTAAAGAAGACTTAGTACCTTTCCCTAACCACAGTGCAAAATACCTAAAACTTACAAATGACCTTTTCTAAATCGCCCTCCACCATTTTTCATCATTAAAATACTTCAATTATAAAGTCATTCTAAATAAAGTCCTCCTTCCAGGGGAATTCACAGAAATTTCTGATAAGTATGTCAAAGCACATTTGAAATGGCCAGTTAATAAGAGATAGCTAAGTGAAAAGCATTTCCATAAATACTTACTTGGAAAAATTGTGACTCTACCTTGGCTGTGTTTGGACTCATTCTAAGTATAATTTTGTGTTCCTATTCAGACAAAGGATTCAAATAGCAGAATAGTTCACAGAAAAAGACCTTTAAAATGCATATTGGAGAATAAGAACACAACAAATTTTGAACCTGTAAATGTGACTGGTAATAAAATTTATAAGTTTCTTTTAACCAGTCTTGGAACAGAAAAATAGTATATGACTCATACATCCAATCAAAGCTCTTTAAAACAGCTTAGATGTTGAATTTCAAATATTTGTAATCATGAACAATATATACACTAAAACTTACTCATAGAAATTATCTCAAGAATTTAGGAAAATTATAAGATGTTCATGACAAAATCACATGCAGAAATAGAGCTGAAACTAACTGAATACACTGTTCACTAAGAATCATTTCTAAATCTCTAGTCATCACCAACCAATATGAGATATTAAGCTTGTGAAGAAAGAGTAAAAATGCTTTAAAGCAAGAATAGTATCATACATAGTAGGCAGTGCGCACACCCTCCCTCACAAATTTATTACTTACATTTTTAGATATGACAAAATACAATCAGACTTATTTACATTTTTTTTCATTTTTATTATAATTTTTGTATGAGATCAGCATTGTTACAACTGCTGGAAGAATGTTCCGTGATATACAGTGCAAAGAGAAGAAAACAAACTTTGTGCAAAATGTTTATTGTAAGAATACCTTTGCTTTTAGCTTTCCAACAATTTATTGTAAGAAACAAACAAACAATCAAACAACAACAACAACAAAACACAACATAAAACACAACAATAAAATGACAGAGTGACTGATTATTAGCTCATAATCAATATGCAACATATATTTGGATAAACAGTATAGTCATAGATCCCTGTGCAAACACCAAAAAGCAGCAATGGAGAAAAAAAAAATAATTCAATTTGACAATGTATAGAAAAACTACTTGCAAACTTTGAAACTGTTAACTTAGCATAAAACCTTAACCTGTAGCCTAGGGCCAAGAAGACATACTCCATCAGCCGATCAGTATGGCTTTAGACATACAGACAGTGAAGTGGTTTGGGCACAGATCACTTAACCCCTGACTAAAAGTGCTTTCTGTTGCTGAGTAGTCACTAGAGACAGAAAGAAACCTGAGTGAGAAAAGCAACCTTTAAATTGGAGATTTGCTAATATTTCTACCCTAATCCGAAACAAATGGCTAATGTGACAGTGCTTTGAGATGGAGCTGTGAATTGCCTCCAAAAGAAATCTGTTTAAGACATTCTCCAGGGGAAGAGTGAAGTTTGTTCCAAGAGCCAGGAGCTCAGTTTGAATTTTGGGGATGATTGTCCACATTAGGGCTTTTTAATGTTTTCTGCCTCTGCCCAAGAAACTGTGAGAAGACAGCTCTCTCTCAAGTCTACAGAGGACAATTACGTACAGCTGTAAAGTTGAACAGCTGGATTAGTAGGTATTAAAAACAATTTATTTGAATAATTTTTACTTCAGTGCTTGCAATTTTTAAATTCACATTCATAATTCATATAGATGATTCTGAGAATGGCCTGAGAGGCAGCAACACAGGAAGAAGAATAGATATGGTATCAGGTATATCAAACAGGCAGAATTTTTTTGGAGCAGAGAGAGCAAGTAGGAGAAAGAGAAAGTGCAGTGCAATGCACTTCAAAGATAACACTTATTAAGTGTCAAATTTCAGTATTAAAATTGATGATATCCAAAATTTGAAAACACTGAGGGCTTCTTCACTGCCCTATAATTCGATCTCATGATTCACCCCTGGAATACACCATCACATGAATATTTGCCAATAGATGACTTACACTCATTCACACCTACTTCTCCAATGGAGAACGGAAAGAAAACATGAAGGGCAAGCAGCCTATGGAAATTAAAGAATGGTTTCCGAGAAAAACTAGTTTTTCTCACTACCAACAAAACTGTTCATTCCCTCTTCATGTTTTGTTACAGTCCTGATGCTATAACTCAGACAGAAAGAGTGAGCCTGTTGCTTGTCATTCTTGTAGTCCAAGGTGAATGAGTTTACTAAGAACTAGAAGTTGAAGATATCTTGAAAGAAATTTATTCCCTCAGGAAAAGCCAGTTACAGTATGCTGGGTACATGGCAAACAGGCAGGCAGTCACTTCACGCTGGCATGTTGGCAAAAAAGCAGAGCAATGGGACAATCATGGGTACCATTCTCTGGCATATATAAAAAGCTAGACATATCAAAGCAACATGAGTGTCTTAAAATGGAGACACTTCTGTTTGTATGATAGGAAGGAAGAAAGAAGGTTGTTGCTTATATATTTTTTTTTAATAAGAGAAGACCATAAGGAAGTGGTACAGGGACTTGAAAGACTGCCTTCCAAAGGGTGCAGATTCCTCTAGAAGGCTCTCAGAGCTTTTGTCTCAGAAAACTGAACCAGTATACTCTCAGGATATAGCATGTTGGAAAAGAAGGGATTGTTAGGCATGTTATTTTTGCATATCTTGTTGGATAACAGACAAGACTTTCATTTTGAAGAAAATATTTTTCCACCTTTCTTTTCTATTCTGCCATTATTATTATTATTATTATTACTATTATTATTACTATTATTATTACTATTATTATTACTATTATTATTTTCAGGGGACAGAAGTGTCCTGCTTATCTGCTAATTCAGATTTGATATACAGCACACTTGACCAGGAACAGTCACAATACAAGATTAGTGACAACGTGGCTATGAACGTTGCTAAATGTTTTCTTTCTTCAAAAAACTGATTTTAGGAGATGATTTTCTCTTTCTAGCTTACTTTCTTCTGTAATATTTCTTTTTGTTTTTATTGGTTCGTGTTGTTTTGTTGTTTTTCAGTACTGTTGTGAGATGCTGAACATGGAATCTCTATGTAAAGTCAAAGGGGTCCATATCCTATTCTTATTTACTACCTTCCCCTTATTCTCTTGGACTGTTTCAATCCAGGCTACCTTCAAGACTCCTTGTATAAAAGAAGGAAGACATCACCCCTTGGTCTTCTGTTCTTGAAGTTCAGTGGCTATGCAGCTGACCTCTCCTCTGGCTTCCTTCTGTTGTAAGACCGTATGCAATGTCTTCTCACTTTCAACTGCAATATCTTGAAAAGAAATGAAAGGTTTGAGGGGGTTAACAGCAATATTTAATGTAATGCGTTTCTCGTCAAATTTTAAATATGCAATATGTGAAAGATAATTTGTCAGTGGAACAACATTGATTCAGAACCTCTGAGAATCTAATGCTTAATATTGATGTCACCTTATTGGGAATACTTCTTGTTAGAGGACCAAATGCTACATCAGGCTACAGCAGTAGATACTGCAAATCTGCACTCAGTCCTAATCCAGGAGGTCCTGCTTGCACTAGTTAGCATCAGTTATAGAAGATGTGGAAGACCTCTTGGCCTTGCAAGCTTTAGTTTTCAGTATTAGCAAATACAGTAAATAAAAGTCAAACTTACTAAAGCAGCACAGTGAAAAAATCTTGATAATGTGAAGCAGCCAACAAAGCAATTACAGACTGAAAACAGGATAGGCAGCTATTCCAGTGCCATCATCCGTGCACCTTCTTTAATCATTAATAGTAATTACTAGATAGACCACAAAGTAGGCTAGTTATTTTCTAGTAAATGAATTTAATGCTTACTGTTTCTCCTCTGGAATTCTGCAAGGCATATATCTTTTGATGACAGCCAACAATAAAATTAAATATTAATTTTGGGGGCCAGCATAGCCCTTGTGTCTGAACAGCAAATTAAAATAGAGCAGCTTATTAAAGTGAAATGTAAACTAAGAAAACAACTACAAAGAATATTGTGGTTGACTTTTGCAGGTGGTTGGTTGAGACATTAATGAAAAAATACACAGTATCCTGGATACTGTCTGCTGAAGTTAGAAAATATGACATCTGTTCCCACAAAAACACGCACCCGTAAGAACCATGACATTAAAAAAGCAAAATACCTTGTCTGGTGGCTTCATTACTTTCGATAGCCCTCTGTTTCACTTCTTATAGTAAGCTCTCATGCAGGTCCAGAGAGATGTTTTCCCTTCCAGAACAGGTGTGCTCTTTTTCTTGATCACTTTTTTGAATGCTTTCTGTAATACCTGCCCTCCCCTCATTACTCAGTAGAGTGTTCTTTGATGGTGTTCAATAGCATGGTAGACTCTGCAAATGCAAGAAACTTCACAATCTATTCCAAATATTTTAGGAAGAATCACGTGTATCACCCTACCACAAAGATTCATTCGTCCAAACTTATAAAGATAGGACTTAGCATTTGGTCGCATCAATTCTTGTTGCTGTGACCAACATCTGAATGATACCTGCTGAATGCTTGGAGTAATTAAAATGAGAAGCTGTAAGTGTTTCTTAATATTCCTTCAAGATGCAAGAGCCAGTACATCTTCTGGTTGTCTGAGGATTTTAATAAAGTAATCCTATATATTAATTACTGACATGTAAATAATATAAGTTTTTAAAATAAGTTTTAAAATAAGTTTTTCTGTCCAAAGAATATTGATAATGATAATGAATAATTGATAATGAATATTGATACTACAGGTGGCAGAACCCAGCTAAGTAATGTGAATGAATGTATTAAACCTCAAGGGGTAAGCATGTGTCTCCTCTCAGCTCAGGAAGGGCCTGTTGCTCTGAAGTATCCAGATGAAAGCAGAGTCATATCTTCACTGACCTACCACTATAGCACAGGAGAGTGAACTGAGGCAGAATATGAACAACAACTGACAGCTGAGGCTACAGATTCATATTTTTTTGGTGTTTCTCACAAAGCTTTTCTGGGAAAATGGTCTTTTTTGTGCAGCAGGGAAGGAAAGAATTATAGTTCTCATAAAAACAAATACAGACTGCTTCAAATCTAATTCACCCATTGCACCCAAGAGAAAAAGATCAGAGATCTGGAATTGATAGGTTGCTGTATATAAATTCAAATATTTAATTAATTTATTTATTTTCCTGTGGAATGTGATTTGTGACTGTGTCAGGGCATTTTATTCTGTACATACAAAACCAGATTACTTGGCTTGGTTGCTCAGTTCTTTATCTTATAACAAAAATGCAGTAAGACTGCATGAAAGAGAATGAGGTATATGCCAATTTTTACCTGCCATCCTAGACACCAAGTTCTGTCACTATTCCCATCAACTTGTGTTATGAAGCAAAGCAAGAGAAGCAGACCACTGAATGAGACTAAATCACAACCTACTTTTGGATCAATCAGAAATGCCCATTAGTGAGCCTGAAACCTGCAGAGAAAAGCTGCTCACACTAGAAAGGATACCTCTGTTTATGGCTAAACTGCTCAGTGGAACAGAGCCAGGGAGTGAGCTCAGGCACCACACTGCTGATCATCCACGTTAATTAACTGATAACCTTCTCCCTGGGATAGCCAATTAGCGCTCTCTGAGGCATAGTTCACAAGACAGCCTGCTCTAGGGACCATTCTTGATAGGTAGTTTGGACATGATCACCTGTTTTTGTAGGAGTAAAAATGAGATTTCTGATGAACAGATAAAAGTCAGGTCATGTCACTACATTTCAGAGGACTGTCCCTAACCATATCTAGTTAGCAATCTCACTCAGTCTGAGTATCACTAGCTCTGTCAAATTCTTTCTTTAGATATTCTCTAACTTGATCAATGTCTACCGTATCCTCTTTACATCCACAACCTGAAAACAACCTTTACTGCTTTCCGATACAGACTTGCATCGTACACTGGACCTAACTGCTTTCCTTAAACTCTTAAAAGGATCATGTGCTCTGCTTGTGTACTTAAGGGACCTGAAAATAAGAAGGAAGAAAACTGAAACTTCAGTGTTGTGAATACTAATTGACAGCAAGAAATTTTGACTAGAGAATTTCCACAAACCTTTTATATACTGTTAGCATGAAAGTTGCACAAATACCAAACAGTAGTTTTTTTTTTTTTTTTTTTTTTTTTGAGTAGGTGGCAATTTTCAAACTCAGAAATCTCCCCACAACTATACTATACAAGACCTTTTAGTGAGTGGAAGTATTTTGCTTTGGAAATAAGACAAGTTACTTTCAAATCTTTTTGGAAGAAACCTCCTACCCTTCAAAATCATCTCCAAATCAAAACCCCTGGAAAATCCAACCTCAAAAAGCATACAGATTCATACATACCTACAGATCCTCTGGCTGTTGCCTGCTTAGTAAGTAAGAGCATTCCTATGCTCAATGTATATGATGAATTTGATGTAGTATAAACTTAAAAGAATTGCAAGAAACTAATGGGTCGCTTAAAGATGATTATAGGAATACAGAAACATTCTGAAATACTTTATGCCTTCCCCTCCAAATCAGCCCAGAGAACCTCCACACCACTCAGTTTTGGTGACTCACAAAGCTCAGAAGTGTTTTGGCCTATTACTCAACACTCAGTCATTGCTATGATGCAAACATTGCTCTCATCCCCAAACACTACATTAGAGATCACTACCAAGATGTAGTGAGGTAATATTTTGGTGGAACAGAGCTCAGTACCATGGAATTTGTATCTTTGCTTTGTGCAATTTTTATTTCCCATTATATGGTAGCCTTTGAACAGTGGAGGTCAAAAGAACCATAACAAAATAAACCAACAGTGTTGCAGCATGCCTTTAAAGACTGCAATACTGTGTATCAAGAGTCTGTGTTAAATTAAAATGCCATTTTACAGTGCAAAAGTTGTTCCACACTAACTTTCCATGTGGATATACCGCGGGAATGTCTTTGCTGTAAATAAGGTGTACTGCAGACATAGCTGAAAGCTGTCTATTCAATGCAACTTCCTGTCTTCACTCCAACATTCACTGGAGTAACTGGCTAACACAAAAGAGGGTTTGGGTTTTTGGGAATGGAAATTGGGAATGGAAATCCATATCATCAGGACCTAATAGCTATACACCTATGAAAAAGTTAGAAATGAATTTGCAGAAACGTAATCAAAACAAACAAGAACCAAATCACCATACTTATACACATCTCAACAGTTAAAACTCTTAAAAGACCTAGATTGTCACACAGGAAAAAGTCAGAAAAACTAGAGAATGAGTCAAGTAGAAATGCTCAAAATGTTTCTGTATCATTATCTATATTCTGAAGAAGTTCTCAATAGAAAATGGTTACCTGCTACCTTTAAGCACCAGTAATCCCCAGTAAAGTGATCATTATTATACCCAAATTTATCAGAATGAATACAAGCAAGTAGGTCACTGCATGAACTCTATGAACTTGTAGAAACATCTAAAGTCTGGTATTACCAATATAAAATGGCTTATGGAAAATTATCAGTACAATGTCAACTACATAAGTAACCAGGTTATTACATTCTGGAGGACCTTAACAACTGGAGTCAGGAAAGGAGTCACTATGCTTACAGTGAACACATTTACATTAAGTGCATCATCACAGAGTGTTCACCTCCATACTTCTTTTTAAGGGCCCACAGCACATCCCCACTGGTGTTTATGGGCAGAAGCCCCAGACAGCACTGCAGGGGTGGGGGCCGTGCCTGGCCATTTTGGGGCCATGCCTGACCCCGGTGCCCCTCCCTAGTCCTGATCCTGATAGCGACCTGCAGACAGATGACCTGGCTTGGTCTTGGCCTGTCCTTGTCCCCAGGGAAATGCTCAACGCTCATAGCTCCTTGTACCCTCCTGCTGCCCTGCTCCTGCTTGGGAGGGTCCCTAACTGTGGGGCCCTGCACTGACGGACCCATGGGAGTCCCCAGCCCCATGGCCCCAGGCAGCCCTGACCGTTGTGAAGTCCTGACACTTGTGAACTCCTGCTAAATCCGCATGTTTCTCCATCTGTTCTCAATATCCATTCTTTCTTTTTCATCACCAATGGTGAAGCATTGCTTTCAGTCTTCTGCAAAGTGATTCTGGTATGTACACCATGGATCTTTGTGGCATGCATTACACAGCAGCTTTAAAATACTGTGATTTCAATTAAGACTGCTCAAGACTTCTGTTGGTATATTAAACAAAAGTTGAGTCATTTCCGGTTCAGGCATTGTCAATAGCAGGGAAAGATTCTGCAACTGAACTACAGGGCATCCTCTACACCCTAACACTTCCCCTGAAAGGCACAGCTGACTGCCAAGCTCTGTATTGTGGTAAATGAGGTGTGAGTCACCCCAGGTGGGATTTCTGTAATACCACAAGACATGTAAAGAATTGCTGATGAAAGTGATTCACGGGCTAAGAAATATGTAAGGATCGATTCAACACCTATCAACAATTCTATTGTGAAAGATAAATTAACTTCCACTGGGCAATCAGGTATATGGGAACTCTGAAATTACACCTTTGCACTGCAGTGCAGGCAGTCATAGCAAATCTGTTGGTGCAGGAAAACAGGGAGATTCCAGTTCATTTGCTTTATACCTGATCAAATAAAATTAAAAACACCCATAATAAAATATGTTGTTTTTTTTTTTTTCTTTTTTTTTCCCCTGTTTCTATGGATAGAAACATTGATTATGAATCAGGAAGTCACTGAGTACTGCACAGAGAATAAAGCAACACTTGCTCTGAGGAGTTTGCAATATTAATGTAGCAAGGTCTATAGAATGAGCAATGGAAAAAATAGCAGACTTTAATTTACCGTGGATGTCAAAGTTAGAATGCAATCCAAAAACCTGGATATCAGAATATGAGCTTGCGGAAAAACAGGAAAAATGTTGTAAAAAAACCAAGATGATGATGAAAGATGTATCACAGACAAATACCCAGATTATTCTTGGCCATACTTTGTATCGACACTTAAAGTCATTTTTAATAGTATGTACAGTAATAAAGTAAAAGAATAAGAAGATCAGACTGCCTGTACAATATTTACAACACAAATCAAATGGGTATGCTGAAGTGTACATTAAAATTTAAACATTTCATGTGCTGCTTGTATGACAGTATTGTAAGAAAGAAAAAAAATGAATATTTTTGGCACTAATTAAAACTCCCTGCTGAGATCCAAGTAGTTAGAACTTTGTATAAAATATTGTTATAAGCAAGACAGTAATCAAGATGAGTTTTCATATAACTGATTCAAAAAGGACTGGTAATACCAGGATAAAATACAACAAGTGGGAAGATAGAGGAAACAAGCAAAAAAGAATCTATACATTTTTTCAAGCACCTCTTCTTAAAAAATTGTTCTAAGAAGAACAAGGCTCGAGAGGACTGTAAAGAGGAAAAGTATAGTTGTTAGGTATCATTTTCTTTTTTCTAATGAACTACTAGCATTAGTTTGTTTTGAAATATCTACTTTATGTTATCAATTTTATGGCTTCTCTATGTTGATCTAAGAACATTTATCAAACAGTTAATAAATGAGATAGCCAGAATAACAAAAAATACAGTCAAATAAACTTAAAAAGAAACAATTTTCTAAAGACAGATAGTCAAAAAATGCAATTTTCAGGTTCACAGTGCCCATGTAAGTTTATAACAGTGTCAGGACTGAAATATTCTCTGAGCCTGAAGCATGGATCTATAGCCATAATAATTAAATATGCACAAGAACATTGTTGGGCATCAAGGCCAAATGGTATGAAATAGACTGCATCTATGTTAGTAAACTCTGACTTTGCAAAACTGAGTGATGGCATGCAGACTGCCTGTAGGGAACAGTCTCTAAAACATTCTAATTCTGGATCTGTCTCTGAGATTCATTGTGGGACAATGCTAGTTGGTATATGCCAAAAGTCCTTCAGGACTATTAACAGGGTCCTTCTGAATGTTTACTCATACAGACTACATCCTAGTGCCTGGAGATTTTTGCTGTTTAATTTACTAATACAGACATAGCTGGGGAGTTTGTCCTCCGAAAGGACAATGTTAGTTGTTTGCCAGTGCAAATCCAGCTAGAATAACAGAAGCTTACAGGTAACTTAAATACTAATATTCTTGGGGTGTCCTGACAGAAATGCATGCAATAATGACATTTGCAAAACATGTGAAATCAGAATCCTAAATCAGGACCAGTCTGTAATATTTTCTGGCTCTAGTGGTGTGCTAAGACAGTACAGAGTTAAGAACCACCAAGACAATTTAAAATCTGTCAGGCTGTGCCATTTTATGTGTTCTCCCAAGAAACAATATACTGTAAGAGGTTGCTCCAGAAACAACGCACACAGTGACAAACATCAGTTAAGATATAATAGAAATAGTACTTTGAAGTACCAAGAGAAAACAAATACACTTTCAGGCTTCTGACCTCAAGGTCAGTTCTGGTAGTACTGATTATGAACCATATAAAAAAGTGGATCATGCCAGCATGACTGACCTCAGTGGTCTTTATCTCCAGGAATAAGACAAACTTGAAACATCCAAATAATGGCAGAAAATTATTTTGTTTGCATATTCCACATGATTTGTTTAGATCATGAATGATGGCATTCTAAAATTATGTACTATTCCTATGTTTAAGGTAGGGCTTGTGGGCAGAACTGAAACGCAGTAGTATTGCTTCACCTATTGTGCTGCTTGAAAAAAACTAAAAGGAGACCGCTCCTTGATGGTGCTTCACACCCACAAATGACCAGTATTGCTTGCAATGATAGTCCCTGGAAATGTCAAGCAACAGTAGTTGTTTGTGTATGTGAAAAGCAAACTTCCAAAGGTTGTTAACTAGCAAGGTTCCGGGGTTTAAACACAAAGACTGGGTGCTTCTTGTATTTCAAAGGCACATCCATTCCAACTTCACTAACAAACCTTGGCAGAAATAAATGTTGCAAATTCATGCTTTCTTGCATCCAGAACTTGCTATTGAGTGCTTAATTACATTACACTACAGGCTTGGCTACAAAGAGAATTTATTTCTCTCTGTATCCATGTCTGTGTTGTACTACCTCAGTCTAAATGATCTTATGTTTTTCTGAAATAACAGAGGTCAAAAGAGAATTTCAACACATAAATCACAGTCCACTGCACATCTATCTTCTATTTATGTGGTATTTTTAGGGGAGCTTTCTAGAGCTTAGAAGGCATTTAGATCATAGGTTTACAATACTTCAGATATGGATGGTTAGCTATGGCAGGATGAAAGAATGAGTATGAGTTTTAGAAAAAGGTGTACCACTTTTTCAGATTATGGATTTTCCTAAGGTGACTTTCACTCTTGTATAGAAAGATGGAGCTTTCTATGACTGCCATCCAAATTAGAGCATGTTCAAGCATGCCTGAATACTTTCCAGACTGGTTTACTTTTCTTGATGAAAGTTTTTGGAAGTGTTTGCTGATGCAATCTTTTTGACATCCTTGTGTACAGGGAATCATCCCTAGTTCTGCTCTTGTCCAATGACTGAAACAGATTTCCATTCTACACCTGCCATGAAAGCAAGCAAGAATGTGGTAAAGCGGGGTACCAATCCAGCTCAAATTCCCTGTGCAGGTTGTAAGGTATAGCATCAAATGCCATTTTTTGTTTTGTTTTTGGCATATGCTGCAATAGCTGATGTGTAGACATTTTGCAGCCTTATATTTATTGGTGAATATAGATGGATTTTACAAGCTTTCTAAACAGTAGTTTAGAAAAAGGAATATATACCATATTCCTATATACATGTATATAATACATTATATATATATAATTATACCAAAAGGAATAAAAACATCACCTATTGAAAGTATCCATAAATTTTGGAGATGATGAGCAAGTTTTTTGCAATTATGCAAGTACTGTTAAGCCCCAAATACAAACCAGAACAAATACAAGCTCAGAAAAACTTGGCCCAAGCACAAACTAGCAGTGATTGCTTTTCTTTATACAAACTGTTTGTAAAATGGACCTTCCTAAAAGGTAGGTTCAAGAACTAGAAAAGGCAAAGGAAATAGAAGAAGTTGCAAAATGTGTTTGCATTTGCATCCTAATTTTTGTGAAATTTGATCAATGGGCTTTTTAAAAGACTTTTTGTTTTGTTTTGTTTTGTTTTGTTTTGTTTTGTTTTGCTTTATGAGCAGTCAATATCTAATTTTGAAAACCAGTGGCAGATGAATTGTGATTGTCCACAGTAGATGATATGAGCTCTCATTTCTGGCCTGATGAGAGTTTATGCTGTACTGTAGAGCTCAGTGGGTCTGTGAATGTGATTTATAATGGATCAGCAGGGCTATTGTCAATAAGCTTATATTTGCTACATACAAGTCCACAACTCCACCAGGAAAAAAACAACCAACCAACCAACCAAACAAAAACAAACAAAAACAAACAAACAAACAAACAAAACAGAGAGAGAGAGAGAGTACATTTACTGAAGTAATTCAAAAAATGTAGGTATCAGGATCAGGCTTTTGATGTGCAGACCTTGTTCTGTGGTATCCTCTGTAACATTCTCCTTAACATTCTGTAAATTTCTCCCACGAACACTCCTATGAAACTCATTCATTAGTGTATTAGGAAAATGCAAACACAGCTGAAGGAAACTGAGTTATGTGGTCTGTTTGTGGAGATGTTTGGAGTAGTTACCTAATTATTATTAATGTACCATGGTAGCAAAAAGAACCATCCATGTAACACCTGAAATGGCATATCAGAGAGAAGAAAAAAAAATAAATCATACCTTTAAAACAAAACAAAAACAAAAACAAACAAACAAAAAAACCACCACACTTTTGTAGAACTAGGAACATACTCTGAACCTGCTCAGTAGAACAAGATTTATAATAATGGATAACACCTTTTACTAGACCAGACTGACACATCTAAGAGATCCAGGCAAGCGTTTGGGCACAAAGACCTTTCTTCAGGTCTAAAATAGCAACAGTAGTCTTTAAAGGTAAATGCAAATTGTCTATCTTAAGTTTCATATCTCAAGCAATCAGAGATAAAAAGTACTTGGTATTTGTTAAAGAGACAAAGTGCAAAGGGGAACGGTGATAAGTATAAGCTGACTTCAAGAGTTGTTTTACTGGGCCATAGCAGAGCTCTAAAGTTTAAATCTGTTTAAATCAGTATCCTATCTTAAACCATAGAAAAATATAATTCCTATGATTGCATAGTTATTCATGTTCTTCAGTCACACACTACCCTACATGATAGCAATATTGTATATGCAATAAGTACTCTAGTCATTTAAAATTGTACTCGTTTAATGATACCTCACAAAAGGAACTAATTACAAATCCACTGTGATTACACAGCACAGTCCAAGAACATCATTTATAAGGCTAAAGAAAAACTTAGCTCTAGGAGTTTGCCTGATAAATACTATCTATAACTACCATTAGAATTTCACAGTATTAAAGTGTCATAACTTTGACCAAGAATATTTTGTCTTTAATCAAGAATTATGGTATTAATATCACCAGCTAAATGTTTGGATCCTGACATACTCATCATATGAGTATAGTTGAAAAAGAGGAAGGGAAGGGAAGGGAAGGGAAGGGAAGGGAAGGGAAGGGAAGGGAAGGGAAGGAAGGGAGGGAAGGGAAGGGAAGGGAAGGGAAGGGAAGGGAAGGGAAGGGAAGGGAAGGGAAGGGAAGGGAGGAGGGAAGGAGGGAGGGAGGGAGGGAGGGGAGGGGGAGGGGGGAGGGGAACCAGGGGAGGTAGGGGGGGAGGGGAGGGGAGGGAGGGGAGGGAGGGAGGAAGGTGAGGGAAGGGAGGAAGGGGAGGTGAAGGGGGGAAGGGAGGGAAGGGAAGGGAAGGGAAGGGAAGGGAAGGGAAGGGAAGGGAAGGGAAGGGAAGGGAAGGGAAGGAAGGGAAGGGAAGGGAAGGAAGGGAAGGGAAGGAAGGGAAGGGAAGGGAAGGGAAGGGAAGGGAAGGGAAGGGAAGGGAAGGGAAGGAAGGGAAGGGAAGGGAAGGGAAGGGAAGGGAAGAAAGAAAGAAGAGAAGAGAAGAGAAGAGAAGAGAAGAGAAGAGAAGAGAAGAGAAGAGAAGAGAAGAGAAGAGAAGAGAAGAGAAGAGAAGAGAAGAGAAGAGAAGAGAAGAGGAAAGGAAAGGAAAGGAAAGGAAAGGAAAGGAAAGGAAAGGAAAGGAAAGGAAAGGAAAGGAAAGGAAAGGAAAGGAAGGAAAGGAAAGGAAAGGAAAGGAAAGGAAAGGAAAGGAAAGGAAAGGAAAAGGAAAGGAAAGGAAAGAGAAGGAAAGGAAAGGAAAGGAAAGGAAAGGAAAGGAAAGGAAAGGAAAGGAAAGGAAAGGAAAGGAAAGGAAAGGAAAGGAAAGGAAAGGAAGGAAAGGAAAGGAAAGGAAAGAAAGAAAGGAAAAGAAAAGAAAAGAAAAGAAAAGAAAAAGAAAAGAAAGAAAAGAAAAGAAAAGAAAAGAAAAGAAAAGAAAAGAAAAGAAAAGAAAAGAAAAGAAAAGAAATAAAAGAAAAAAAGAAAAGGAGAAAAATTGCCATGCACGAACATTCTCTGTACTCGTTAGAAGAGCACCAGAACCACCTAGTGGAGTTTTCACTTATTACAATGCCTCTAAAATGCCTTACTCTTGTAAATTGTAGTAGCAATATACACAGCTTTATAGGAAAGTTGTAATGTGGTATCAGCACTGAATCACAGAATTTAGGGATGGGGAGCCTCCTACTAGGCTTCTGGCCCATCTTCCTGTCCTTTTTATTGTCCACTATTGTTTTCACTTATTTTAAATGCATCATCTGATGATGCTCATTCTGAAATACAGTCTTCTAGGTTTATACATGGCATAAACAATTTTTGCTTTAAATAACTTTTTAAATGTTTTTAATGAAATTTTAAAATTTGTTGTTATTCTAATGCATTATTCTGACATGCTTTTGGTGTTTTACTTCAAACCTATAGAGTTCTGTCATATCCATTCTGTACCTCATAGCAGTATTGATAATAGTATGAAAATAATGCACAGAAATATCAATGACAATACAAAATATATTTAGATACTTTCTTTTTATAGCAATATATTCAAACTTGTATTCTAAACTAATTGTAGGAATATGGGAGGGAGCTGGTGATTCTGCATGTGTGGTTCATCTATTCTCAGTTTTAGGAAAACGTAATCACATTTAATTCCTTCTATGCCACACAGGTACACATTTTATAAGAAAGAATCCACTAGAAAAATGTTTGCAAAAGTTTTATAGGTCACAGATGTAAAGCATATGTACTAGGTGAACCTGGGAGACATATACAGAGATAATCTGAGCAAGTGTTTGGTTTAACTGCCAAACACAGAATGAACTTTAATTTTCTTGTGATTAAGTTTACAAAGTATCATCTTGTATACAACTTATCCTTAGGAAGTGCATTTAGGTTCAAATACTTCCAGGCTCCTGTAGGCACAGCTGTGAAGAGCACAGCCATCAGATTAGGGTCTATGCTGAATGGGATTACCTTGCATGAATAAGAAACACAGAATTTGACTGATGATCTCAGGGTAGGACACAGGAAATTAAAAAGAGAACCTGAAAATTTGTTTTATATGGGATCATTCTACATTTTGTCACAAAAGTGACATGTTTGAAAAGTGAGACTAAAAGAGAAATACTATTTACTTTAGCCACTCTTTCAATACCAAAGACTGTAGGTTTATAAAGATAGGGCAAAAATTGTTCTGTTTTGTAATATAATTGTCATAGCAGTAAATGAAGCAGATAGCTGCAGGAAAATAAAAGAAAAATAGATGTATATGATTTTCCTAAGGAGTAGGTTGTATTTAACAGTCTGGCACAGCCAGTGATATTTCATGATACAATGTGTTGGTATACAATGGCGAGCTAAAATAACTTTCTCTGAACATACCAAGACTATCCTGTATGTTTCCACAATAGTGAAACAGGGTTCCCCAGGAACCAGGTTTCATTTCAGAACTTTCTATACTGTGACTGTTTTGTTTGTGTGCTATTCTTTGTTTGCTTGTTCGCTTGTTTGTATTTTTTTTTCCTGAATATAGCTTATTATGTTTCCTGTTTATCATATTTTTAGTCACTAATTTCTATTCTCTCATGTATGACACCATGTTCAGATTTAGAGGGATGTTAATTTTATGGAACAAAATATCCACAACAACAACCTCAGTACCTGAGTAAGGATCCTTTTAACTTAGCAGAGAGAAATAGACACTTTAAGACATGACTCATCTGATGCAATTTAAGCACTTGCTTTAAGATGGGATGATTCATATCAAAGAAATGACTGCATTTCTTCAATGATTACAGTGAGAATCTAGACATGTATTTCCTATGACCATGCATTGTAAATATGAACTACACTGATATGGCCAGCAAATGAAATTTTATGTCTTCATAAATCCCACTTGTGCTAAAGTAGAATATGACCTAGCATGTTTTATACAAGTTAAAGAAAACACAAATGATTGCTTTCAGAATGCTTGAAATTTCAAGTTATCATTTTGCTACATAAAATATATTTTCAAGAAGATACTTTTGCATGTTTTGGATTTTCTAATGTAATTTTTAAAATTTTGAATAATTTAAGTTTGAAAAAATATATTTCAAGAAGAGAGATGAATTTTCTTTTCAGAACTGTGATACTGTTATGAAAAATTATCACTCCTTAAGCCTATTTGTTCTATTGTTTTAGCAGAAATTAAAAAAAAAGGCATAGCAAGCTTCCGAGATATCCATGATTGAGCACTATAGCACCAATCATTGCAAGGAACTGTAACACGTGTACGAAAAGTAGAGTTTTTTCTAACAATGTAGTGTCTTGCTTCCACCCAATTAATGACTGGAATATGCAAAGAGACTAATTAATAAAATGTACGGATAAAGTACAGTTGAAAGACAGTTGTGAATTTTGCCCAACATTGCCTTTTTTGGACATAATTTTATAAAGGTGTGTCTTAAAACCTCATTTGGAAATTAAAAGCATTTGCAAAATGGCTATTTAGATGATACACTCTAAAATACTGAACAATGTATCTGGGGTTCTTTCTGCTTATCCTTCATAAGAAAGAGACTGGTTGGGTCCAGAGTATGGGAATGTTATTGGTCTCACTCTCTCTTTTTATTTTTATTTATTTATTTATTTATTGTTGTTGTTGTTCATATGACTCATATGACTGTAATATTGTGTGAAGGCTGGCAGTGGAAAAGTCTTAAAAAAATAAAAGCCAGGGGAGAAAGGACATGAGCAAGTTAAGCATAACACAAGAAGCAGATTGGTTAAAGATATATTAAGGTATAGCATGTTCTTCAGCATTTCTGTATGTTTTGTTTTTATGTTACTACATACATCTTTACATACTACCTACACACCTCACTGTACCTTACTGCAACAATAACTTCAGTTCATACATTTAAAACATTCTCAAGAGCTTCATATCAAATAATTGAATAAGCATGCTGGATTACTAAAATATCACTATGTTTTCTGAGGAGATAGAGAAGATTTCCAGAACTTTACGCACAGCATATGCATGCATGCACACACAATGACATACATATCCCCGAGCCACTTCTCAGCTGCTTGCAACACTGCTTTGGTGAAAGCACTGGAGATACAAAATCTCCACGTATTTGCCAGAATGTACATTGCACTGAGCAGCATTTGTTCTTTATGTATTATTACAACTTACTTTCAGCATGTCAGCTAAACAGGACTAGGAACTCAGGTGGGAAACTAATGGTGAGAGCAAACAGAGCTCTGAAACATTTTCTTGGAAACAGCCCTTCGAGACAAAAAGGCTGAAGCAGAAAACAACACAAACAATAAAAAGAATTGATTCTACATGACATTTTTCTGAGATAAGTGTCAGCTGGCTTCTAAAGTAAATAAAGCATGCTACATTTTTATTGTTGTACTGCTAGTTGCCTTTAAAGACTGACTCTGGGTATTATCAGAAATACTCATCTCTTTTACATTTAAGTGAAATGATTTGTTATAAAGAGATATCTCCTTTGCCACATCATCCTACACTCACTTTGACAGATAATTGGGAAGGGTATTCATTTTTTTATTTTTTATTTTTAATTTTGCTACTTTAAAAACATCAGTAGGATGTGACAAAGATTGAATTTGTGTATAAGATTTTAGATATCAGAATTATGCCTGTTGTGATTCTGATGACAGATTTCTGCAGCATCTGTAAACACATTTCTGATTCTCTTGTTCATTTAAACTTACATTGACATTTTCCCATCAGAAGATTTACAGTTCAGGCCCTCTGAGTATATTTACTGTCTTGATAATTGCTACATGTACAGTCAAACCAAATAAGTGAGTTTCAGAACCAAATAAAATTTTTCATTGCTCTATTAACAGATCTGTACTGAATTATGAGCAATATCTTCTTTGACTCTCA